GGCTGAACATCTTCTTTCATGTGCTGTTGTAACATCAGTCTTCTTTATTGATGTCTGTTATTCATGTTTCTGCCCATTTCTTCCTGGGTTGCTTTTTGGTGTGGAGTTTGGTGACTCATAGATTTTAGTCACCCCCCAGCCCTTTGTCCGATATGTCATTTTGCAAATATCTCTTTTCCCATTCGTTGGTTGCCTTTTTAATTTTGTTGGTTATTTCTTTGCTGTGCGAAGCTTTTTATCTTCATAGGGTCCCCGTATTACACTTTTGCTTTTTTTAATTCCCTTGCCTTTGGGAATGTGTATACAGTAAATTTACTATTTGAGAGGTCTTTTCACCTGCTTTCTCCTCTAGGTTGATGGTTTCTGTCTCATTCAAGGTCCTTTATCCATTTTAGTTTATTTGTGAATGGTGAGAAAGTAGTCTAATTTCAACCTTCTTACATGTTGCTGTCCAGTTCTCCCAGCTTCCTATTTAATTAAAGAGACTGTCTTTTTTCCATTGGATGAAACTTCTTCTTTTCCTGCTTTGTCAAAAATTAGTTGGCAAATGCGTTTGTGGGTCTAGTTCTGGGGTTTTATTCTATTCCATTGATCTAGTATTGTGTCTGTTTTGGTGCCAATACCATGCTACTGTCTTGATGATGACTTAACTTTGTAGTAGGAGGCAAAGAATCTGGGATGTGATGCCTCACTGCAAGTCTTCTTCTTCAAACCCTACTGGCTATTAAGAATGAGTTTCCATATGAATTTTAGGATTGCTTACCTACCGAGGAAAATGCTGGTGCAATTTTTGATTGGGATTGCATTATTGAATGTGTGAATAGCTTTGGGTAGTATTGACATTTTGACAATATTTGTTATGCTTCCAATCCATGACTTTGAGAATGTCTTTCCATTTCTTTAAATCTTCTTCAATTACCTTCACTTAGCTTTATAGTTTCATACAGATCCTTTACATCTTTGGTTAGATTGATTACCAGTATTTATGTGAATTTTGCAATTGTGAATGCGGATCGATTTCTTTTTATTTGTCTTTCTGTTGCTTCATTGTTAAGTGTATAGAGAATGCAACTGATTTCTGTGTACGTGATTTTATCCTGCAACTTTTGTAATTCATGGTCCAGTTCTATGCAGAACTTTTTGGTGGTGGAGTCTATGGGATTTTCCATGTATAATATCATGTCCACCAAAGCTGGCACCCGGTGACCTATCTTTGCCAATTTTGGCGCTACTGATTTCCTTTTGTTGTCTGATTGCTGATACAGAACCAGCACTATGTTAAACAACAGCGGTGAGAGTGGGCATACAATATTAATGCATGCGTGTTCTGATCTCAGGGAAAAAAGCTCGAAGTTTTTCCGTTATTGTGTGAGGATGATGTTAGCTGTGACTTTTTATAAATGGCTTTTTATGATCTTTAAGTATGTTCATATCGACTTTCTCATGTTTTTATTAAAGACTTGCTGATTGTTTGTCAAAGGCGCTTTTCTGCCATCGATTGACAGCAAGGATCATATGGTTCTTCTCTTTTTTGTTAATATACTGCTGTGATGTATCACGTTGATTGGACTAGAATGTTGAACCGGCAGCCTTCTCGAATGAATCCCACTTGATCATGGTGAATAATTCTTAATACTTACGTTGTTCGATTTTAGTATCTTATTAATTTTGGCATCTCACATACATCAAGGATGGCCTGTAGTTCTCTTCTTGCACCTGGATGCTCATGTCTGGTTTGGGAATCCAAAATGTACTGGCCTTCATAGAGTGATCTGGAAGTTTTTCTTTGCTATTTCTCTTGGAATAACTTTGAAGAGAAGGATGATGGTATTACTCCTGCTTTTAAGCGTCCTGATGAAGACTCCCTGACATAATAGTCCTGGACTTCTTATTTGTGTTGGAGATTTTTTTGATAACGATTCAAGCTTTTCTTCGCTGGTTATGAGTCTGTTCAAGCTTTCTATTTCCTCTGAGATTAGTTTGGAAGAGGTATTGGTGTTCAGGAATTTGTCCATTTCTTCCAGGTTGGTCCAATTTGTTGGCATATAATTTTTCATAAACCATTCCCTGTTGTTTGTATCTCTGAGGATTGGTTGTATCATTCCATTTTCATTCATGTTTTATCTATTTGGGGTCATCTCCCTTTTTCTTTTGAAAAGCCTGGCTGAGGTTTGTCAATTTTGTTTATTTTTTCAAAAAAAACTAACTCTCTTGGTTTCCCGTTGGTCACTCTACAGTTTTTTTTTTTAAGATTCTATATTGTTTATTTCTGCTCCTGATCTTTTATTATTTCTTCTTCTGCTGGGTTTAGGCTGCCTTTTGTTCTGCCTTTATTTTGCTTTGTTGTGCTGTTAGGGGTATTTGAGATTTTCTTGTTTCTGGAGATAGGCCTGTGGTGCAATGTATTTTCTACTCTCAGGACTGCCTTTGCCTTTCTATAGCGTCCCAAGTTTGGATTGTTGTATTTTCATTTTTTGGATTTGTTTCCATATATTTTTGTTCTTCTCCTGCCTGGTTGACGTTTACTCACATTCTGTTATTGGGGTGTGTTCTTTAGCCCTCCCATGCTTTTTGGAGGTTTTCCAATTTTTTTCTGTGTGATTTCAAGCTACTTAGTTGTGTGAGTGGAAGCCATGCATGTGTATGTGATTTCAGTGCTTGTAAACTTATGAAGGGAGCTGTTTTGTGACCCATTATATGATCTATCAGGCTCATTTCATGTGTACTCGAAGAAAGTATATCTGTTGCTTTGGGATGCAGAGTTCTAAACTATATATCTGTCAAGTCCATCTGATCCAATAATGGGGCCCCTTGTTTTTCTTCTATTGATCGTGTGTGTCTAGATAGTCTATCCATTTCTGTGATGAGTGTTAAAGTCCCCTACATTACCATTCTTATCAGCAAGGTTAGCTTGTGTTTATGTGGTAATTTTTACACACATATAGGCATTTCGACATTATTGTGCTTTTTGGGCATTTATAATTGTTAGCTCTTCCTGATGATGGATAGACCCCCTGTCACTATTATAATGTCATCTTCTTCTTGTTGCAGCCCTTTATTTAAAAGTCTAGTTTTGTCTGATACTAAGGATGGCCTCCAGCTTTCTTTTGGCTTCAGTAGCATGTAAATAAATAGTTCTCCATCCCCTAACTCTCAATCTAAAAGGCTCTCAGATAAAATGATCTCTTGTAGACAGCAACAAATAGATGCTTGTTTTTTTTATCCATTCTGACCACCTATGCTATGTTTTGGTGGTAGGCATTTAATCATTCAGTGTTATTATAGAAAAGATATGAGTTTAGAGAAGTCATTGTGATGTCATGTTTTTATGCTTGTGATGATGTCTCTCTATTTTTTTGTATCTACGAAGGGTCCCCACTTAGGATCTCTCTTGGAGAGCTGGTTTAGTGACGACAAATTCCTTCAGTTTTATTTGTTTGGGAAGACCTTTATCTCTCCTTCAATTCTAATATGACAACTTGCTTTGGTAAAGATTCTCCATTTTACTATTTTCATCTACAACACACTGAAAATCTCGTTGATTACCAATTCAACTTTCTGGCCTGCCAAGTTTGAAAAGAGAGATCAGTCGCAGGAAGTCTCTTCTAGGTCTCCCTTATATGTGAGGGGCACGTTTACCCCTTAAAATTTTCTCTTTATCTGTATTTTTACCAGTTTCACTATGATATGTATGCAGAAGATACGTTCAGGAAATTCCGTCTGAAGGAGTTCTCAATGCCTCAGTTCAATAGCAACTTTTCCTTCCCTAGTTCAGGGAAGTTCTCAGCTATTAATGTCTTCCAGAAGGCACCCTTCAGCACCTTTCCTCCCTCTCTCTTCTTCCTCCCTCTGAGTTCAATGTCCGTAGATTATTTCTTTTTTTGGTGTATCACCCAGTTCTCTAATTTTTCCCCTCATATTCCTGGTTTTTCTCTTTTTCTCAACTTCCTCTTACTTGCGGCATGTACCTATTTTATTCTCTCCTCTGCCTCTTCAATCGACGTGGTGGTTTTCTACATTTAATTGTATGCATTTTAAGTTTAAGCGTTTTCAGCTCTCGTGACTGTTCTGATCCCTATGATCTCTTGTATGAGAAGATTCTCCCAGCCTTGTCAGCTATACTGTTTTCAAGCAGCGATTAATTTTATGACTATTATTAAATTCTAAAATCATATTATTTAAATCCTTTTTTGATCAGCTCTGTGTGCATGGCTGTTGTTATTTCCCTGGAGATTCTTCAGGGAATTCTTCTAGCTTGACATTTGGATAGTCCCAGGCGTGTTGAGGGACCTGCAGACACTTCCCCTCTGTGCTGTGTGGTGTATGGCAGGGAGTTGGTGCTGGTAGAGACGCAGTCAGATGTCCCATGCTCCCAGCCATGCAGCTGGGGCCGAGTCAGGCCCCAGTGGTGCCTTCTTCCCCTCTAAGGAAGTAGGGATTCACCCCAGCCACCTCAGGGGTGGGGTGAGACCATCTGGGCTACTTGCACACTGCCAGGCATGTGACTGGGGATCCCAGGGGTCTTAGCTGGGGTGCCCGGGGCCAGAGCAGGGTGCTGGGGGCAGGAGGGAGCGGGTAGCTAGCTTCCTCCTTGGTGATCCTCGGGCCCCTGTGGCAGCAGGAGGGAGTCAGTTCGGCTGCGGTTTGGCTCTCACATAGGCGCCCAGAGGGATTGGTGTTTCTGGCGGCCAGGCGTGACCAGTTCCTGGCAGGAACTGAAGTTCTCTTTTGGGATACTGACTGGAGGGGATGGGCAGGAGAGATGGTAGCTGGCGGCAGCCTTTGTTCCCCAGCTGGCAGAGGCTCAGAAAGCAGCTCTCCTCCCTTTGTCACTCCAGCCTTCCCACGCAGCTTTCTGAGCAGGCTGGTAACCACGACACCTCCCAAGGCATGGTCGCTTGCTGGAGGGCACATCCTAATTCAGGCCCCCTCCACTTTACCGGCAAGCCAGACTGGGGGCTCTGCCTGCTTGGCCACGGCGAGCGCCCCACCCACCGTCCATGATCAGGAGTGGGCGGCACCGCCTCTGCCCTACCTACCCTACCCTCTTCAAGCAGACTCTAGATCTGCGGCGGCTCCAGCGACTCCGTTCTGCTAATCCTCTGGTGGTTTCTGCAGGTTATTTAGGCAGGTGTGGGTGGAATCTACAGTGATCCTTGGGGCGGCGGTGAGGCGATCTCCTCCTACGCCGCCATCTTCCTCTTGTCTCCTCCCAATAATACATTTTAAATTGGAATCACAAAGCTAATTTTTCAGATATACATGAATATAGCAAATTCTCTTAAACATAACACCAAATATACAAATGATTCCTAAATTTACCCCAAAGTATCACAGAATATTTTATTAATTATCTCTCTATACACAATTCTATGCCTTTGCAGGGTTAAAAGTTTGACTATCCAAGGCAAATTGGGGTTGCTATCTCCAACCATAGACTTTCAGCCAGGATAAGAAACCTGGTGTGGTATTCTTCAAAGATGGTTGTCTCTATAAACCATACCTGCTACAATCCACACCCCTATATAATTCCTCCTTTCAGAATCTGTGACTTTCTTGTAACTACTAGAATGTGACAGAAATGAAGTCTTGTTGTGCCCTCCCCCCAATCTCTTTGAATGTTCACTCTGAAGGAAGCCAGCTGTTATGTAAGATCTGACAACCAGTCCACCATGCCTCAGAAAAGCCCAAACTAGCCACAAGCAGATGCTAGCGTGTCCTCTCTCAGCCCACAACCATTTACATCATCCCAGTTGGGGTCTAGATATTGTGCTTCTGAATAAAATCATCCCTGGGGAATCCATCTGATTCCTGACCTATATATAAATTTGTGAAATATAAAAATAAGGTTGTTGTTTTTTTTAGCCACAAAGTTTTAGGGTAGTTTGTTATATGACAATAGGTAACTGGAACACCTACAAGGAGACTAAGCCATTAAATGACCTGCTGAACCCCTTTTATGGTTTTTATATGGTAGGATTCCAAGCCTATCTCTTTCAATTAGGATTTCGTCCTCCTACTTATTTCTTCCACTATCCTACTTATACTATTCCCTAGATCTTCAAATTTGATTTGAATCAGCACCCAACCTGAAGGTTACAGCAACTTCTTTCATTTTTTCGTAGAATGTTACTTTTGTTGGTTAGTTAATTTATTTTCTTTTTGTCTGGACTAAAAATTTCACAGAAATTAAATTACATTTGATTGGATTGTGCATGCCTTTCTTTGTCAGGTTCCAAGACAACAGAATGAAAGTCTGCTAATAAAAAGGAGACTTGTGCCTCTGACAGTATGTAGAATTCCCTAAACCAGCATTTTGGGGCACTACTTCCTTGAGATAGATAGCATTTGCCTCGGCTCTGACCCGTTTCTGCCTTGAGACCAGGCAGCCAGAGGACTACTCTGCTCATAAAATACTAGAGCTATAGTGCTTAGGGACTTGAATCTTGTTAAGGTTTGAGACCTATAGATTATATTACTGGCTTCAAAATATGCTGATGGAAAAATATTTAATTAAATGCCCACAAATACCTTTTTCCAAAAGAATTCCAAGAATGGGAATGTTCTATCTCAGTATGGCCTGGAGATCCCTACTATGTTCTATGCATTCCAGGGCCAGATCCTCCTTCTCTCCAGGAGCGCATGCCACAGCTCCACTCCAGAGAAAGTTGTGCACTTGCAAACCCTCAGACTTTAAGCTCCAAACACTGCATAAAAACGGTGACAGTCCTTCTTACTCCCCAGTCCATGGGTCTAGAGAGGTTTTCCTCTTGTGAGAACTCAGTGCCACACTCACTCAAGTCCTCTCTCTCTTTTGTTTCTCCAAAGAAAGGGTTCCATCCCTCATGGCACTACAGTTTTTCTCACCCAATTCACTTCCATGCAACCTCCCACCAGCCACACTGTCTCCCTCCAACCTTGGATATCTTCTGCCACTCTGCAGGTTGATGTCCTGGGTGTTTCAAGTAATCTGACCTCAATACAGCTTTGTTGAGGGACGAGGAAGGCCCAGGGTCCTCCCACTTCTCTGCCATCTTAACTCATTTAATCTTTTTCAAAGACCTAATTTTGAGTTAATTTATTAGTTATTTAATTTTTTCTCTTTTGCCACTCATTTTTCTATTTCTGTGGTTTTATTATTTCTATAGCCCTTAGATTTATTTTATTATTTTTTTCCTAATCTCTTAAATAGATATTTCATTTATTTTCATTATTTCTTATTTATTAAGTGCTTAGAACCACAAGCATTGTATTAGCTGAATTCTGTAAGTACTGATATGTAATGTTTTCATGATTGTTATATTCTAAGATTCTGGAATCATTTGGATTTTATTTTTCTCCTAAACCAAAGAGTTCTGTGAGAAAGTTTTTGTTTTTCACCTCCTTATGGTCAGTTTTGTTGGTTTCTTTCTTTTTAGTTATGTTATTCATTACTGGTTTTATTATACTGTGATCATGGCTGTCTATACCATGTCTACTTTTGGAATTTTTATTAAGATTTTATTAGTGGCCTAGTATTTATGGTCAGTTATTTTTATAATGTTTCACTTGACAAGAAGATGCTTTCCCTATTTTAATGAGAAAACTACAGAGATAACAATACGAATGGCCTCATCTCATTTTTATTTAGGTATTTTATGTCATTTTCTAATTTTTGATGGCTTGAATATTTATAGGTTGAGAAAATGATTTAAAGTCTTTCCTACTCTATTTCTTAATTTCCTATGGAGTTTATTGTGTGAATACTATATTCTATGGATAGAATATAGAATAAAAATTCTATATTATTTGATATATTAGCAACTATTAGATTCTTATTTTAGATTATTCATCCTATTATGAAAATACATCTTTGTCTCAGTGTTTTTGGCTCTGAAAATAATTTGGTCTGCTATTATTTTTTATTTATTTTTTTTGAATATATGAAATTTATTGTCAAATTGGTTTCCATACAACACCCAGTGCTCATCCCAAAAGGTGCCTTCCTCAATACCCATCACCCACCCTCCCCTCCCTCCCACCCCCCATCA